CATCCATCCATCCATCCATCCATCCATCCATCCATCCATCCATCCATACATACATACATACATACATACATACCATGCAGAGCAACTACGTGGGGCATTTCCATGTGTCATATTTGTTGCTCTGCGCTTGACGGTGGCTAAGCAGACCAAAACAAACTAGATCTACAGAAATGAAACTGCTGAGTAAAAATAAGGCAACCTATCCATGCTGCCCTTTGGCTGGAAAGGCAGTAAGCTGAAACTCTGCTCCTGAGCCAAATCAATAAAATAAAAGGGACTTGGTTCTCTCTCCCCCTCTGCACATGTCTGCTCTTCTCCCCTTGAAATGCTCATTTATCTTCTTTAAGAACTTCTTGGTCTAATAAACATGGCATGTTGATGTGGCTATACTTCCACGTACAGTGGGCCCTGATGACTCATAAAACAAGGAGAACTCAGTCTCCTCTTCCAACACATTCTGAGAAAGTACGACCAATGGTTGCAAGAACACATCCATCTAAAAGGCCAGGGATTTGGGTTCTGTATTTCCAGCCATTTCTATGCCACAAAACTCTTCCCCTTACCAGCTCCTTCTCTGCTCCCCTTTCTAATTCTCAGTCATGAGTAACACCTGGCAGAGGAGGAACAGATCTCATTCAGGGATCTCACTCAGTCTCTGTGCAAATTAGTTTGAAACAGACCTCACAATTTGTCCCAGCCATCCCACCAGACACTCGTATTACCTCTGAGACAAGCAGCAGCAGAGATAGGCATTAGAGAAGCATCTTAGAATTAAACAAACATAGTACAGTATAGATTTGGCTAGCATCCTTTGCCTTATTTTGTATGAAAAGCAGCTTCAGAAAGCTGAGTTTAGGAGTAGCAGAATTGTGTGTGAGAGAAACTGTTTATCTCTTTTTCTTCTAGTAATGTCAGGGGATGCACTTCTTCCCCTGTCCCCACTACTTTGTGGATAGAAACTAGATGGGACTCTCTAAACATTTCCCAAAAGAAGAAGGTGATTTAGCTTAAAATTAGTTTTAAAAAAACCCCTAAGAGGATAAACATCCACACCCTGTAAGGTGAACTTTAATTATTCACTGAATTCCTCTCTCTGTCAATCTGCTACCATAAATTCTCAGCCTCTTAACACTGCTTTTCATCTACATATTTTAAAAAGTCAGGAAGGTGTTACCTTTCTGTTCAATCCTGTCTTAAGATCCTAGATAAGTAAATATGGATGCCCAGGGCCTCACCTGAGTAGCAGCAAAATCGAAGGCTGCGTCAAACAGATAGGACTTTTCTCGTGACCGGTTGGCACGGAGGACATCATCAGGATCCTCCATTGGGTCCATTAACACAACCATCTGCAGGAATGGCATTGGGATTTTAAAAAACTTATTTTAGGCATTTTACTGAAGAGGTAGAAACAAATCTTAACAAGGGAAGTGAAAGAAATGAAGAGTACGCCAGGTATTATTTTTTATCCATGGGAGAAATCTTGCAGGTATATCCTGCTTTCAGTTCCTTCCTCTGCTCCTCTTCTGCAAGGGAGCAACAGATAAGACTCATGCCAGAACTCGCAAACAGCAGACAGGAATCAGACAATAACTTGAACATTAAAGAATAAGACTGAAGGAGGTATAATCAGAGCATTACTGCACAAGGTAGTATTTTTGCTTGTAAATTCTCTTCCACCCTTATCCTTGGCCAAGGCGAACTGGCAGTATTTCAAAACCCTGCAAAACTTGTTTGCCACTAGAAATGAGAAACAAAAGAAATGGAGGCGCGTTACACTGGCAACAATGCTTCTATCACACATCTGGATTTCATACTATATTCATCTCTGACCTTATTTTAGAAAGATTCTGTGCAAAATGTTACCTTGCTTCAGGACCCATTATGTGTAACCGTGAAATGTAATACCCTCAATTGCAGGATTTTCCCTCAAGCTCAAAGCTAGTTGCCTAGTAACTGATTTGCTAGCTCAAAGGGAAGCAGTCTAATGTACTTCACCTATCATGTTGCTAGGGATTTATGAAAGGCATAATCCAAAACATATGGGGGGCACAAAGTTGCCTGCCTCTATTTTAGCTCCTTCTAATCCAATTCTGAATAGACCTAACTTTAGGAGTCTACATTTGTTCTTTAGCTTGAGGACCTTACAACCAGGGGAACATGGTGAAGCAAGCCAATCGCCTGAGAAGCAGAAACCTGAAAGGATGCAGGAGCAGAAAGGCGAACAGGATCGTCGTATGCATTTTCTGCATTTGATCCAAAATTCCAAATCATCTCATCCTTTCAAAGGTATGTACAGGTAGTCCTTGCTTAATGTCCATTCATTCAGTGACTGTTTGAAGTTACGACGGTGCTGAAAAAATGGACTTGTGACCAGTCCTTGGACTTATGACCATCACAGCACCCTTGAGGTCATGTGATAAAAATTTGAGCCCGCCCACCTTTATGACCCCTGCCGCTCCCCAGCTGATCTTTGTCATCGTCACCTGCCTCCCTTCCATTGGGCTCACCATCCTGGCCATGCATGGGGAGGTGCCACAGAAAGGTCCAGCAGGCCAGAGGGTGAGAACTATGGGCAGGTGGGTTCATGCCCCCACCTCACCAGGAAAGGAAGGGGTCCTGCCAGCCAGCGCAATCCTTCACTGTGGCAATGGGGCTTCTTACCATGCTGTGGCATATTTTTTTCTGTTCTCCCTGCCCTAATTGGACACCAGTGGTGTCAGGCCAGGGTGCAAAGTCCGCTCAAGGTGGTGTGGCTCTTGGAAGACTGCTCCTGTGGCAGCGGAGTCATGGGCAAGATGGGCCCAGTCAAGTGATGTGTGTCATTTCTCATTGAGTAAGCCACCAATGGGATGCAGGAAGAGGTAGGCTTCTAAGCAGGCACTCCTCTAGGGCTTGCCACACTGCGGCTCTGGGGCTGCTTGCTGCACTGTGGCTCAGGGGCTGCTTGGCACACCACAGGTCTGTGGTGTGCCACATCATGGCTCTGGACTTCCTGGTGTGCCATGGCTCTGGGGTTTCTTAGCATGCCGTGGCTCTGGGGCTTCTTGGTGTGCTGTGGTTCTGGGGCTACTTGTTGTGCCATGGGGATCGAGGCGGCAGTGGCAAGCCCAGTGGAGGTGAAGAAGAACATGACAATTGCGCCGAGGAGGACAGGAAGGAAGATCCTCTGGGGGAGGCAGTGGAATGCAGTGGCCTCTTCATCTTGGCCATGCTGTGCAGGGTGGCCACAAGAGCAGAGATGGGAGGGAAAATAGGCAGGTGGGAGAGTTGGAGGGGAGGCAGCCCCTTGCCTTGGAAGAACTGAGACTCGAGGCTGGGAGGGACCAAACCGGGAATGGCTTGGATTGGGGTGGGTCCTCACTTAATGACCATCTGGAGTTCATTTAATGTCAGCAACAGGGGCTGCTGGAACAGGTGTCACTAAGCAGGGCAGTCACAGTCATGTGATACTTTGCTTAACAACCATTTTGCTTAGTGACGGAGTTGCCATCCCAATTAGGGTCATTAAGTGAGGACTACTTGTACTTCTAGGAGAGACTATCTGAGTTCATACAAATATAGGTAGTCTTTGTTCAGCAACTGACTGATGTTTAGCAACTATTTGCAATTATGATGGTGATGAAAAAGTAACTTTGCGACTAGGCCTCGCATTTATGACCTTCGCAGATCTTTAAAGCAAAGGAAAGCTAAAGTAAGATCATAAGCACAGTCACACTTTAACTTAGCAACTGTTTCACTTAACAACCGAGTTGCTGGTCCCAATTGTGGTCACTAAACAAGAACTACTTGTACACTAAATAAAAATCAAACAAACCCATCTTATACACTAGTCTAATGCAAAATGTGTTCCTAGTCTCACTGCGGATTTTGGTATTAAGTTAATTTGGGAGACACCTAGCTAAAGGCCGATGACATCCTATCCAATGCAGCTATAAAACTTACATCTTCTCCAATAACTACCTGTATTTTCTTTGTCTTTCTTCCTGACATCATCCCCACAAGGTACAAAGGCTATTAATAGCCAGGCAAAGGGCCCATGGATCCCCTGGGTACTCAGACTGGGGCTGTGAATTGGTTTCTATCTAATTAGACTGCCTGGCTGTAATAGGGGAAGATGTGCTGGGAAATACTCAGAGGGAGGAAGATCAAGTAGCTGGACTGGGACTGATATTCCATTGTACTTCAGAGTTATGGGCAACTCTGAAGATGCTGATCCTCAGATCAGGGACAGATCAGGTCTCAGCTGAGGTGATTTGAATTGGGGGATGTTAACATCAGTCTCTTGTCATAGACAGATCTCTCCCTCTTGGCTCCAGAGTTCCCTGTAGCTGTTCCCCATTGCAGGTGACCAATAGAACCACTCCAGGCCCACTCCAGGTGACTGATAGACCCAGTAGGGTTTCAGAGGGAACTTGGAGTTATCCCTGAGGTTCTGGTGCATGGCTTGGCCAAGGCCTTAGTTGCAACTTGGAATGAATGTGCAACGAGTGCCTTTGATCAGATCACACCTAACTCTCTGTGATCATGGATCCCATACAGCCCCCTGGTTTATGGAGGAGCTCTGGGAGATGAAATGATGCAACAGTCATCTAGAGTACTGCTGGAGAAAGACAAAGAATGAAATCAACCAACCTTATTTGTGACAATAAGGGTGGCAAAGTGTGCCTACTTTCCTGCCCTTATTGCATCTACAGATAGCCAGCCAGGAGCCCTTTCTGGGTGACCAGATTCCTTCTGCATGAGGAGGAACTGGGGGAGCCCCTGCAGAGTTGCCATAAAGACTATTCTAAGTTTCTGTTGGATAAAGTCACTCAGCTTCACTCAGTTTGACTTTGGCTGGGCATGTCCTAGCTCAGTTATCTGGGAAGAGTTTGAGCTGGTTGATTCTGAAATAGTAGTTCAGGGTCCTTGTTCCTGTGAGCTCTGCCAGCTGTGTTCTGGAGCCATGTCCCTCCTGGTTGGATAAGACCTCCCAGAAGGTTGCATGTGGTTGGGTCCAAGTAGTGGTTAATGTCTTTGTGGGAGTGGGTGGTTCCACATGCCTGGAAGAAGGTGGTGGTGCATTCCCTTCTCAAGAGGCCATCCTTGGACCTGACAGTACTGGACAACTTTTGTCCACTTCCAACTGGAGAGGGTGGTAGGTGCTCAGTTTCAGACAGCCCTGAATGAGGCAGATTATCTAGATCCTTTTCAGTTAGGGTTCAAGCTGGGTTATAGCATTGAGACAGCATTGGTCAACCTCTGGAGAGATTGGGATTGGGGTGGTGGGTCCATCCTGGCTCTCCTGGATCTCTCAATAACTTTTGATAATATTGACCATGGTATCCTTCTGGATTGGCTTCAGGGGTTGGGAGTGGGGGGCACTGTTCTGCAGTGGTTCTCTTTCCTCCAAAGTCAGTTTCAGTCAGTGTTGATGGGGGGTGGGAGAGGTCTATCCCTAGGCCCCTTTTATGTGGGGTGCCTCTGGGCTTGCGTCTCTCACCACTCCTGTTTATTATCTCCATGAAGCTGCTGGGTGAAATCATTTGAAAGCATGGAGGGCAGTATCATCAGTATGCAGGATATATTCTATTATATATCTCCACCATAGGCCAAGGAAGTGATGCTGTTGAGGTGCTTGCCCAGTGCCTGGAAGCTGTAACAGCCTCGATGGGAGGAACTAGCTGCAACTCAACTTTTGCAAGATGGAGTGGTTTTGGGTATTGGGGTCCAGTGAGGGTCACCTTCAACTCACAATAGGGTAGCATTCCCTCAGAGTTGGGATGCAATTTGAGGGTCCTCTTGGACTCACAGCTCCTGCTCAAGGAGCAGGTGGCAGCTGTGGCTGGGGGACTTTGCACAAATTCATTTTGTGTGCCAATTTAGCCCATTCCTGGACTGGGAGGCCTTGGTCACAATCATTCATGCCTTAGTCACTTCTCAATTGGATTACTGTAACATGTTCTACATGGGGCTGCCCTTCAAGACCACCCAGAAATTACAACTGGTCCAGAATGCAGCAGTGTACACAGTCACTCCCTCTCAATCCAATCTATCACACAGCACTATTGCAAAGATAAAACGAGGGAGACCCCCATGTAAACTGTCTCAGGCTCCTGGAGAAAAAGTAGGACACAAAACAGTATATACTCTAAGGCTGTTAGTTTCCATTACTGCCTTGAGAAGGAGGCAGTTCTGTTATGGGACCCTCTCAAACATCTATAAGCACCACTTAGGGCCCTCTTGAGGGTCCTTCCATGATAGTGCCCTTACTCTTGATCAGATTTGTCCGTCACTGACAGTGGCTTACAGGAGGTCTTAGGCAGGGTCCCTGCCTAGACATTAACGTAATGCAGTAAACAGGGAG